TGTCTGGTGTAAACTGTCTCTGCTGTAAACTCTTTCTGGTGTAAACCTTTGTTGGCCTTGTCTGGTGTAAACGACGTCTGGTGTAAACCGTGTCTGGTGTATAGACGGTGTCTGGTGTAATCGATGTCTGGTGTAAACTCTTCTCTGGTGTAAACCTTTGTCGGCTTTGTCTGGTGTAAACTTTTCCATGGTTACTTCGTCTGGCGTAAACAACGTGTGGTGTAAACCGTGCCTGGCGACATGCACCATCATCATCATTATCATCATCATCATCGTCATCACCTTCATCATCATCATCATCAGCATCATCATCATCATCATCATCATCATCATCCTTATCATCCACATCATCATCATCATCATTATCATCATCATCGTCGTCAGCACCATCATCATCATCATCATCATTACCAGCAGCTACGTCATTGCAATCGTCATCGACCTCATCGTTAGCTCATGATCACAATAGCATATCACGGGCGTATCGTGAGATCATCATCTCATGGCACATCATATTTTCATATTTGATGTCATGTCATATTTTCTTTCACGGCATGAGAGTTACATGTGTTTCAGGTTGTGTTGTATTTGTATACTTGGCTTGAAATAGACCCAGCTGACTCGATGTGTTATTGTAGCTGATTGGATTTTTTCCGTCGTTTGCATCGGCATGACGGTGACGGCTTTAGCATGATCAGCATCAGATTTGTTGTTACAGCTGCTTGAATTTTTTCCTTTGTTGGCATCATCATGACGGTGACAGCTTTTAACATGATCAGCATCATTGACCTTTGTGTCGTATGGCTCGAAGGCAAGTGGACTCGCTTATTCTCGATCGACGGTCGGCAGAATCCGATCCGTGTGGTCGGTAGGGTTCATGAACCAAACGTATCTTTATACATAGATCAGTGGCGTTGGCGCGAGACCGCGAGTTGTGCGAATCTCGCCAGCACAGCCAATTCAACCGTGCGATCAATGGAGCTCATGAAACAAACGTATCTTACGTAGGTACCATCGACTTTATACATAGATCAGTTGCGTTGGCGCGAGACCGGAAGTTGTTCGAATCCCGCCAGCGCAACCAATTCAACCGTATGAAATCATGTTGGACCTTCGAAATCTTGTGTAGCTTTTTATAGCCATGGCTTCGTCTTCTTCCTCCAGTGGTCGCCTTCCGCTGCAGCGGGCTTTGCAAAATCTGCGGATGGAATGCGAGACTGGAGGTCAGCAGAGGTTACAGTCACAGCTCAATGGAAAGAGCATTGAAGAGCTGCGCAAGCTGTGCATAGCAGCTGGTGTGTCAATTCGACTTGGAGATTCTGACGTGAAACTGTCTAAGAGTGACTTAGTGCTTGAGCTGGTGAGGGTGTTGTCGACACCTGCAGAAGCTTGGTGGCAGATGTTGTGATTTGCCTACGTCGTCAAGCTACAATTTTTTTTCCGGTGGATACACGGGAATACGTGCGCGTGTATATGTAAAGAGTGGATCGTTAATCACATTGATGGGATCACGGCCAGCGCCATGCTCAGGATTCATCACAACCTTCAGCGGGTGACATTGAGCAGCTCGTCCAAGTTCTCCAGACAGAAGCTGCTGTCAAGGGACGGGAATGGTTGCAGTCGCAACTTGAGGGAAAGGACAGAGACGAATTGCGCAAGCTTTGTACGCAATTGGGTCTTTCCCACCGACGTGCGAACTCTACAAGTAGGTTGACGAAGGCAGAGTTGGTGGAGCAATTGTTGCCGGCATTGTCTCCATCTTTGGACCCGTGGCTGCCAGTTTGATGACATGACATAATGTGATGATTCGTATGTGACAAGTATTCTATAGAAATATTTGTTTTTATTGATATGCACTTTTGTCTGTGCACGCGACACGTAAATGTTGTCAGTACACATGAGATATAAATGTTGGATGGGCATATTTTTTGTGAGAACGTTGTACGTTTCAGGTTCTTCGACAGTATGACATAACAGGAGGTTCGGGAATGCATGTGTTCATCCGGTTCTGCAACGTTTCGACTGGCTTTGCTCATTTTAGATGGAGCCCCATACTCAGGAATCGTCGCAACCTGCAGTGAGTGACATTGAGCAGCTCATCCAAGTTCTGCAGACGGAATCTGCTGTCAAGGGACGGGAATGGCTGCAGTCACAGCTCGAGGGAAAGAGCACCAGCGAACTTCGTCAGCTTTGTACATCGTTGGGTCTTTCCCGTCGACGTGCGAATTCTACAAGCATGTTGACGAAGGCAGAGCTGGTGGATCAGTTGTTACCAGCAATGTCTCCATCCTTGGACCCCTGGCTGTCAGTTTTAGAGACAACATGACAGGACACGATGTGATGATTCGTATGTAACAAGTATTCTTTATGCGTTGTCGTTTCAATTTGTTTGTCCGAGGCCTATAGTAGTGTATCTTTTCACTGCTATACACTTTTGTTTGTACACATTCATCAATAGTATGACATGATATGAGGTTAGGGAGTGCATGTGCTCATCCGGTTCTGTAACTTTTCGAATCGCTTTGCTCATTTTAGAGTGGACCCCATACTCAGGAACCATCGCAGCCTGCAGTGAGTGACATTGAGCAGCTCCTCCAAGTTCTGCAGGCCGAAGCTGCTGTCAAGGGACAGGAGTGGTTGCAGTCACAGCTGCAGGGAAAGGACATTAACGAACTTCGGAAGCTCAGTACGCACTTTGGTCTGTCTCATCGAGCTGCTGACTCTCTGCGTAAATTGAGCAAGGCAGAGCTGGTGCATCAGTTGCTACAAGCAATATCTCCATCTTTGGACCCCTGGCTGCCAGTTTGTGAAACAACATGACAGGATGTGATTGTTTGTACGTGACATGTGTTCCCTATGTATCGTTTTGCATTATAATACTTTCGTTGCAAGTATCGTCTACAGCTACCAAGACTTGCGCAGCATAACCATTGAGGACAGACCTCAGCAACCGATCGCGACCGGGAGTTGTCCGAAGCCTGTGGTTGCTAAGTATGTCTTCGACGGTAGTGCTGTGCATGCTGTTGCACTGTGACATTTGGACGTTCGAATGGTTTCATGCAGACCAGTATCTTGCAATTTCGATACCCAGGAGGTGTTTCAACGCCGGGGATTGTTGTGGGTTGTCATTGTAATTTCGTGTTGTCATCGGTGGTTGTCGTCGTTGATTTCGGACCTGCATCGAGGATCTCCATACTTCGTTGGACGCTTTGCGAGCAGAGGCTGCAATTCGTGGCAAAGAGTGGTTGCAAGCCGAACTGGAAGGGAAGGACACGGATGAACTCCGAAAGCTCAGCTCGGTAGCTAAACTGCCTACAAGAGTTGCTGTTTTCAAGACGATGTTATCGAAAGCGGAACTGGTGGGTCAGCTGCTGAAAGCCTTGGCTGCGAATCCTGAGACTCGATGGCGTGTAGCGATGTAGCGCTAATGGGATCATTCAGGTTTGGGATTTGGATGAGATCTCTTCATCCAAACACAATTTCGCACAAAGCTATATATATATATACATATACCATGGTCTCGCGCCTGCATACAGTTACGAATAATACTAGTATCTGTTCAAAGTACTTGCGTATTTGAGAGACTCGATCGACCCAGGAAGAGGCTCCACCGAAGGCACCGCACCAAATCTGGCAATCCCTGTGCGATGATGTGGAAGTGAAAGGCCAGGAGTGGTTGCAGAAGGAGTTGGAAGGAATGGACGCGAATGAATTGCGGACGCTATGTGTACCTGCAGGTGTTTCTTGCCGGGCAGGGGACTCTCGGAGATCAAAGGCTGAGTTGGTGGAACTGCTGACGAAAGCAACTTCTCCATCCATTGAGCCTTGACAACAGCTTTAGGAAAGAAGCGTTTGTTTGTCTTTTCGTTCTGATTGGTATGTTGGAATTTTGCTTTTGTTGTTGTTAGTTTTCAGGACGGTGGTGAGTGTGATGTTCTGACATGTCAGCGATAAGGTAACCGCTGAGCAACTGAAACTGGAGGCGGTACAGCAAGGCCCCAATGCACGGGCGTGGCTTCGTCGCAAATTGAACACTTTCTCGGCCAAGGTAGCCAAGGATTCAGTGGACGGCCGAAGCCCGCTGGCGGCGCTGGGTGCTGAAGTCGGTGTGGAAGACTGTCTGTCTAAGAAGGCGCTGATCGAGCGCATGATCGCCGTCTTGCTGCCAGAAGAATCATTGGACAGCAGCGCCGCGGTGCAGCGGCATGCTTGGCGATTGCTTCGGTCCTGTCTTGGAAGACAAGCAGCAGGCGAGCAAATCGATGCCGATTTCTTGAGCACAGAGGTAGTCGACGCAGATCTTCGGCTGAAACTTCTTGCATGGTGTTTGTGCATTCCGATGGACACTCTGGTGGGACGTCGCTATAGCTCTCAGCAGACATTGCTGGAATTGATTCGTAGTCTTGGTTGCATTATGACACACTTCAATTCCGTTTCGGACGTTTGGGCCACACTGGATGTTGACTTGCAAAAACTTGATGCTGATGCTGCATTGCAGCGCTTTCCCAACCTTGAACGCGAGCACGTCATCGCTTTGCTGGCTTGCGTGTTGCACGAGAACCCAGTGAAAGCTCAAGGACGGCGGTAGTTTGATCAAACAGCTGAAGGTTCAGTCTGTTGAAGGTTGTTTTTGCTTAGCACGAGAACATGGAGTTGTTATTTGTTGTGTCCTTGACAGGTTTGTTTTGTCTAACGTTTGCTTTCATCAATGTTTTTGGTTGGGTTGCAGGATGGAAACAGTTGTTGGATTTTGCGGATTCCGTCGATATGTTTGATGTTGCTGAACGTCTTTGGGATCTGCAGACAGTGCGGATGGAACGGCAGTGGAATGAACCAACAGGCTTCGAAGATCAAGAGGACGTTTTAGAGGCGAGGGTGCATGACAGCATGACTCTTTATAGGTAGGGTACCTGTTTATTTTCTTCATTTTTCGTCGGAGTGTTTTGGTACAATGCTTTCAACCGAATGTTTTGTCTCGTGTAGTACGATCCGTTTGCGAGGCCGTTCTACAAATTCTGCATGGCCGTAGGGCCACAGTGGAGACGGATGGCAAGTCTCGGAAGCGCAAGGGTGCTTTGGATGATGCCGACAAGGCCTTTCTACGTGGTCTCATGCGAAGGTATGGCTTGGAACTGATAGATCATCCGGAAAAGCCGTGTCTGTGGCAGGAAGTGTTCACCAAAGCAGATTTTCTGCAGACACTGTGGTTCGTCATACAGCGACTTCTGCATCCACGTGCATCTGGCGAGTTGACGGCTCTGCGTTGCCTCCATCAACCTGATCGCATTGCTGCACTTAGAGCTTCCAGGAGTCGGGGCGTTGAATGTAGAGGGGTAAATTGTTTGGTATGGTCGTACATTCTTTAGTTTTTGGACGTCAGTATCGTTGTTGGTTGTCGATTGGGTAAAAGGCTTTACATCATAACCCTTGAGCCTTGCGAAGGAATGGCGTCCATGCCGATGTGTTGTCCCTGCATCAAGAGTTGCTGGAGTGGCAAATGGACACGGGGACGAGTAGACTGCCGAATGAATCTGAAGACAGGCCTTTGTCTTCGAAGATTGACAGCTACAAGGAGAAGGACAGAAGGAATCGCATCTCAAGCATGAAGAAGGCTTATCCTCCTGATTTTGAACCTTTAGAGCAGTTGTCCTTGGACTGTCTTACTGGAGCAGGTGACTCATCGACAGGTGTGCAGTGGCGTTCTGAGTTTGAAGAGCAACTTATGCTTTCTGTACCTGGCTAGACAGAGGATGCAAAGAAAAGTCGCACTTTTCATACATTGCAAGAAGTCCTCCAATGCGGCGATGTGTTTCTTCAACAATGTTTTGCGACGCTGCAATCTTATGGATTGTCTCTTCAGCGCAAATTGAGCGTTCTTGCTGCCAAGTTGCAATGCACTCCTAGCATACCAGGTGTGGCGGAAGCTATGTCCACTCGATTACTCTCAACTCCACAGGACACAGAGGAGATGGAGCTCAACAGATATGTTTGTCGGTTGTGCGACTTTCAATGTGCAGACAAGGAAGTCTTGCAAGAGCACATCAAGGACGCTCATTCGAATGACACTGAGGTTGCAAGAGCATGGGTGGAATATCGCAAGAAAGTGGTTGGATTATTGCATCATGCAGGACCTTCGGTGTCCTGGCGTTTGTTAGTGTCATTTTACTTGCTTAGGCAATTCTTGTGCATTCGATGTTCTGTGATCTATTTGGTCATCATGGAAAATGTTGTTTTTTGAGTCCCTGATTTTTTTTAAAATCAGGGACTCAAAAATCAGTGTTTTTCTCCTTAGCGGAGTCTGTGCACTAATCGGTCATTATGGAAAATGTTATTTTTTGAGTCCCTGATTTTTTTAAAAAAATCAGGGATTCAAAAATCAGTGTTTTTCTCCTTAGCGGAGTCTGTGCACTAACCGGTCATTAGGGAAAACGTTGTTTTTTTGAATCCCCGACTTTGTTAAAAAAATCAGGGACTCAAAAATCAGTGTTTTTATACTTAGCGGGGTTTGTGCACTAATCTGTCATTGTGGAAAAGGTTCTTTTAAAGACTCAGGAACTTGACAATGAATGTATTCGATGAGATAAGTTTTTGAGTTTCAGACATATTCGAAAACGTGTCCGGTAAATCGATCCGGTCTCAGGTTCCCTCTTGGACTGTGCAACGCAGCTTGATGGCCAATGCGGATGCAGCATTGCGAGAGCCAGGACGGGATGGAGCACTGCGTGAGGAACGGGCATGTGTGGTTTGTGCTCGTAGATTCTGGAGCGAAGAGTTGCGTCCAGTTATTTTGTTCCAAGATCCAGCTGCTGGAGCTCCAGAGACGGTGGACGGAGAAGAGGAAGATCAGCGAGTGAAGAAGATTGCACCTTCGCAACAACGTCGACTGTGTCGAGTTCTGGGCGTACAGCGCTACCTGGAGCGTTGGCCACAGCTACAGGCCCGTCCAGAGGCCATTGCAGAGCTGAAGGCATCGGCGGTCGAGCATCCATTCTTGAAGGAGGAGCTGCTCCTTTTACATCGACGCCGAATGCCAGCTGATGTCAGGGACCCATGCGACGTTTGCCGAGAATGCTGTGGTCCCTTGACATCAAGCATGGTGAGCCTTCCTCGGTACAGCTTAGCCAATGATTTGTGGATCGGTCGACAACTTCCAGCTTTGAGAAACTTGGCAGCGGCCACCAAACGTTTGTTACCAATGGTGCGCACCTGTCTGCAAGTCACTGTTCTGCAGCCCGGTAACCTCGTTCGAGAGGAACGGCAGAAGGGCTTCATCGGCAACAGCATCTTTTTGCCGCAGGCTGCGCCCACAGCCATTCGAGCTGTCCTTCCGCCGCCAGAACAGGACACGCAGGAGTCCATTCTCTTTGTTTTGGTCGGCGATGGACAGAACAAAACAGCCCTTCAAAGCAGTGCATTGTTGAAGGCCCCTCGTGGCGAGTACGAATCTGCAGTTCGATGTCTTCAAAGCACTTCGCCGTACTACGAAGAAGTCACGCTTCGGGACGCTGGTGAGTCTACGTTGCAGGGTTGCATTTTGGAAACCGGTGTCAACAGCTACTTAGCCAAACAGTTGCTTCAACAGGGCCCGGCTGATGCACAAGGACAAGAGGATGATGATACCGAAGAAAATCAGGAAGCGGAACCAATGGAAGATGCAGGTGGAATGTTTTTTTTACAGTTTGGTCGTGTAGTTTAGTGTTTCTTCCTGACGTTTTCCTTTGCTAGTGCGAACTTTGAATGAGAACGGTTCGAGACCGAAAGTTGTTCGAATCCTACCGTTGCTCATTCGAAGTGTAACTTGTGGATTGGTCATGTGATCGGGAGTTTCTTTACAATGACATCGTGAAGTTTCATGTGTTTTTATTTCACACGGTTTGTTTTCATAGTTTAAACTTGAATGAGAACGGTTCGAGACCGAAAGTTGTTCGAATCCTACCGGTTCTCATTCAAAATGCGGCGCGTAGTTTTGTTTGACTGGTTTGTATTTTGAATGATGACGGTTTGAAACAGGAAATTATTTGAGACCAAATGAAAGTGGACACCACGCAATGGAATTCCAGGAGGCCGGCATGTCGATGCCACATATAGTCACCAGCCACGAAGTTACAAGTATCGGCGAAAAGCTGTGAATTGGCTATTGCAAAGTGTCGTGACCAAACTGATTAGAAGGACCTGGGTCCACGACCGGAAGTTGTCCGAAGTCGACCCTTGTTCCAGCTGAACGCGCAGAGACTCCACAAGGCACGAGATCCACGACCGAGAGTTGTTCGAAGTCGATCCTGTTCCGACTGGGTGTGCAACTATATCTGATAACCGACAAAACAACATGAGTTGAACTGTGGGTAATTTGTTTTGTTTTTCAAGTGTTGCATTTGTATGAGCATTGGTTGTCCTGATGCCAGGTTGGGACGTGCGATTTCGCACACTTCGGCGGCTCTTACTACCGGGACTAGCGTTTGAGCTCGACCGGCGCTGGATAAAAAAGAATCGACCGGGACTACCGTTTGGGCTCCGAAGTACAGTGCAACAGAATATACATTAATAGATTTGGTAATAACGTGATAATAGTATCATAATCATAATGTATATATATATTATATATTGTGTCATCTCATCATCATCTCATTTTGTTTCATCTTAATGTTTTAAATCATCATATATCATCTCTTCATTTCTTTAGTGCTCATTCATCTTCTGTTACTTCGCTTTTCTTCCCTTCTATTTGTTCTCTTCCGCCTACTTGCTTTCGGGCCACCCTGTCGTCTAGTGTGGCAATGAGCGTGTTTCTTTTCCAACTTTGTCTTGTGAAGATGAGCCCAATACGTTTGAGAAGGGGAAGGAGGATGATCAGGAGGATTTTGCCTCTTTCACTTCTGAGTTTGACACCTGGGAGGTTGAGTCGAACTCGTCTTTTGTGAGCTGTGAAAGCCAAGATGTCGGAAGCTTTTTCGGATGTTTTTGAGGGATCTGAGACGGATTTTGCTTCCTTGCTTGCGTTCTGGAGGAACCAAGAGGGGTTTCCGGGGGTTTCGGAGGAGTCCGAGCGTGTCCGGATGTTCCGTGTTTTGCTGAAAACCGTTGATTTGGAGAGTGATGACATGGAGGAGTACACTCCTTCCATTCCCGATCAGGTTGGTCCAGAGGCGGAGGCCGAAGGTCTGATGGTTGAGGCAGGTTCCGAGGTTGACGAACCACCGGGGGAGTTGCCCCATTATGATCCTGAGGGTCCACATTCGTCGGATCTGGAAGATCCATCGCCCGAACTGGAAGGCAGTTTGTTGTACGAGCACGAGTGTCGAGGACATTGGCCGTATGATCGAGGGTGTGATGCGTGTGTTCAGGCAAGAGGTCGGACGCCCGCAAGGAGACGAAAGGACCAAGAATCTAGCACATGTGATCTTTGAGCTGATATCATGTTTGTAGGTGGAAGGCACTGGAAGGTGTTAGTTTTGCTCATGATTCAGACTGGCATGATTGGTATGGTGGTTTTAGGTGGTGACCGGGAGAAGGACGTGAAGTCCACTGTCTCTGTTTTGAACGAGATCGGTGTTGGAGGTTTGTCTTTGGAAGTGGCCACTGACAACGAAGCCTACCTGCTGAACCTGATGCAGAGGTCTCTGAGAGAGTCCAACTGTCGAGGCTTCCATTGGAGGAACATTTCAGAGAATCGTCCACAGGCCAAGGGTGTAGAACGTGCTGTGGGGATCATGAAAGAAGGTTTGTTCACCACTTGGTTGGCTCGGGAAGCTCATTTAGGCATGAGGTTGGCTGTGGAATCACCTTTGATGGGGTATCTGGTTGGGTACACCTACAGGACTTTCAATGGTTTTTGTGAGCGCAAGTGGGGTGGCACTCCTTTGGAATCTCTGAGAGAGAAGAGAGGAGGTCAGATACCACGAACTTTTCCTTTTGGGATCATGGGTTTTGTGAAGCCAGTTCATGCACAGAAGTGGCAAGGTCAGAGGATGGTGCTTGGTGCTTATTTGGGGGCCAGGTACAGCACAGGTGGTGGTTGTTTGGTTTACCCGGTTTCTGTTGACTCCACTGGAGTGAGGGAAGTGATCAAGGGTCACACTTTCAGAGTTAGGGACCAATCACCATGGTATGACGTGAACGTCTTGTTTCCTCTGCTTGCGGGTGCATATGTTGATCCCAGAAGTGGCGAACAAGCTCTTCCTTCGCCACCAGTTCATGATCCGGAGAGGTCAGTGAAGAGGCCACTTGAGGATGCAGGTGGTGAAGGCGGGGAGGTTCCAGGTGAAGAAGGGGATGGAGACATGGAGGTCGAAATTCCTTCGCCAGATGGAAGCTTAGCTCCAGAAGGGGCTGGAGAACCTATGGACCTTGATGTTGTCTTGGATCGAGTCATCCAGCATGCCCAGAACGAAGCAATGAATGAGTTCTTGGCAGGTGCCTCTAGGTGTGATGAGGTAGGAGGTGACGTCGAGGCAGAAGGTCAAGGTTCGTCCATCTCTGTTCAGTTTGAGGGAAACCAAATAGATGTACAGATCGCTGAGGGAGTGTGTGATGAATTGACAGGGCACCCCATAGCGCATGACCAGGTGGTCGAGGGCATTCGCGCAGAAATGGTGCAACTGGAGACATTGGAAGTTGGTGACACCTATCCTGAGAAGAAGGGTCGCACCATCGCAGTTGAACATGAAGTTCAAATCTTCACAGCGAGGTGGGTTTTTACCCAAAAGACTGCTGTCCTTTGTCGTGCCCGGTTGGTTGTTCGCGATTACGCCTCTGGTGCTGAAAGCGCTTTTCGGTCTGGCATCTATGCCCCTACAAGTAGCTTAGACTCACTGCGAGTGGTCCTTGCCTTCTCAGTGGTGGAAAGCATGAGCCTTCTTACAGCTGACGTGTCGACAGCCTTTATGTATGCGCCTGTTGAAGCCGACGCTTGTGATTTGGTTTTGCTTCCCCCGAATATCACTGTGAAGGGCCAACGAGTCATCTTGTGGCTGAAAAAGGCCATGAAAGGCTTGAGAAGGGCTCCATTGTTGTGGTTCTTAGAGCTTCAGAGGACGATCCGTGACTTGGGCGGAGACGAGACCTTTGAATCAACGTTGTTCAGAGTGAAGACTGACACCCAGTTCCTGTTGGTCCTAGTTTACGTTGACGACTTGCTTATAGCTAGTAATGACGTTGAAGGAGGTGAGAACTTCTTGCGTGCACTTCAGAAGATCTGGCAGATCAACCGCACGGGAAGTATTCCGTCTGGGCAGAGAGGACTCCTGGAATTCTTAGGCCGCACGGTATACAGACGCCATGACGGGGAGGAATGTCTGTACTTTGGAGTTTCTCGAAGCTACATGGAAGGCATCTTTGTTTCATGGGAAGAGAAGCTCAAAGAATCCACCGGTTCAGCCATGCCCAAACTGGAGGAGCTGCTAAAAGACGCAGAGAAAAAGTTCGGCGCTCCTGAACTGTCCGCCACGGAAGCCCAGCGCTACCGTAGGGTCCTCGGACAACTTGCGTGGGCAGCACTCTCCAGGGCAGACCTTGCTTTTCCTGTTGGGTTTTTGAGTCGATTTCAGTCGAAGCCTCATGTTCCTGCAGAGATTTGTCTTCGTAGCTTTCTTCGTTGGTTGAAGGGTCATTTGCATTTTGTGCAGCAGATGCCTGCTAGCTCACCACCCGTTTTGACTGAAGAAGGGGTCGTTGTAGGTTTTTGTGATGCTTCATGGAATGTGACCAGTGTTTCTGGTGCTGTCATTTCTTGGCGTGGATGTTGCCTGAAGTGTTTCAGTAGGAGACAAGAGGTTCCTGCGTTGTCGTCTGCAGAAGCAGAAGCGATCGCCATCACGGAGGCTAGCAAAGAACTTGTGGCTCTGGGGATGCTGATCGAGACAGCTCGTGATGGGATTCCTCTTGACGAGATGGGCATGCCAGCCGAGACCACCGGCAGCATGAAGCTTCACCTGTACAACGATGGGAAAGCGGCGATTTCCATATCGACCATGGAAGGTTTGCTCCGACGTGTCAAGCACATGGAACTGCGTGCACACTACGTCAAATACCTCCATCGACGACGTCGCTTGACCTTGGAACATTGGGAAGGTGTTTCCAACCCGTCCGACGGTCTCACGTAGAGTTGCAAGCTCATTGAGATGTGGCTGAACCTCTGCAATGCTGTCGGACTTGTACCTAGTTTGGATGAAGATAAGGCAGCATTGTTGAGGGGTTTGTCTCGAGACGCCGATGACGACGAACTTCCGATCGGTGAACGTTCAGTTCGAGAAGGGGAGTATGCTCATCGTGCGTGTTTCTTGCATTTTTCGTCCGTTGGGGATCGGAAGGTGACGGAAGCTTTGGGCATTGTGCCTGCTGAAGTTTGAACTTTCTCGAATGTGCTTTTTCCGGAACAGTTTTGCACTTTGACTTGGGAGAGTTTCTGAATCTGTTTTGTGTGTTTCCGATGTTGTCCGTCTGTGTCCGAACTGGTTTGGAGGAGTTTTGTTTTGTTTTGTCTTGGTAGCACGGAGATTTGGAACCTTTGTCACGGTGACAGAACTTTAGTGGAAGGACGTGTCCGAGAGCAGTCGTTGAGGTCGGACTAGGTTCGGAGGTGTAGGAGGACTGTTTCTTGTTGATTTAGGAGCCTTCTGTTCTGTGGTGCAGTGTTTTGAGTTTTGCAGAATTGAATGCACGCGCATTTGTGCCTTTTGGAACCTGGATTGGAAGCATTCA